GAGGGGGGGGGGGGGGGGGGGGGGGGAATGGAATTACATTCAGGGCTGGATTAGTTCAATTGTAACTAGCTGACCGATGGAGATACAGTGATGAATATTTCACAGCCAGCTAATAAAAGCTTTACAGATAGTCCTCAAGTTACGACTATTTGTTCAGCGACCGCTTGAAATTATAACGGCACTAAAGGAGTGGTGGTTATGACGGGACCTCTGCGTTTCAATCGTCCAAGCACCCCTGCACTTAATGTGATTGCAATCTAGGCAACTGACAACCAGATTGTATTTACAAACAGTTGTAGCACCCCATGACCACAGGATCACCGTCTGCGACCCTTTCTGGCCTCCCCAGAAAGTCAAGGGGGACACTGGCAGAGAAGTTCACCAAGACAATGGGGGTAAGTCTTCCCCACACATGCACCCTTCCTCAGCCCTTCTGCGGTTGCCCCTGGTACTTGTGCACTCCTGAACACTTGAGGGGTCTATGACAACTTGCCATGGCCAACTTGTCAAGGGACAACACGCCGAAGGACAAGAGTTACACTAATATCAAAGAAATGATGGAATTGAATCATTCAAGGAAGGATGCAAAAGAAGGGACAAAATGAAATGTGAATGACAAAAATTGAAATATTTTTAAAAAAAATTATTTTAAATAATTAAATCGAATTATTGAATTGTTCTGCGGTGAGTTGTCCCAAGTGAGTTGGCCGAAGCAAGTTGGCCATGGAGAGTTGACTGTGGAGAGCTGTCCCATTCTGCTCCCCAAGCTTTGCTGTACCTACCTTGTAACCCACTGCCCCTCCTTCCCTCTTCCACACACCCTCACCATACCTCACATCCCTGTGCACCTTCACTGCACTTCCGTTATGCACCCCCTGACACTCTTCCCAACTCAGCAACATCTATTTACCTGCCTGCAAGCCACTTGGGACTTACAAATTCCTGCTGGCTTTTCCACTGACTTGGTTGTGAGAAACCATCAGGAAATTGCCTCACCTAACAACTGTGGGATTCAGTTAATGATGGCAACTGGGACTGCAGGGATTGCTGTTGCTAAGAGACTGCACTTTATGACTGCACTGCTTAGCAACAGAAATTCTGGTCCCAAATGCTGTCGTAAATCGAGGACTATGTGTATCTTGCTTCTAACATAGCCTTAGCCTTTATTATAAAATAATCTCTGCTAGATGGGCGGATATTTTTTTTTCCCCATAAGTAGATGGAATCCCTGCAATCTCAGAAGGAAGTCGGCCTGGATCTAAGAAGGCAAGAGAAGAATCTTTATGGAATATCTGTTAAAATATTAGGACTTGTTAGAATTAATCAACTAAAAAACAGTGCTAAGGTTACTAAACAAGAATAACTCCGAACAGTGGTGAAACTGTACAATTTAATTCAAAATATAACATCTATAGCTTCATCCAGTTTGGACTGTTGAACATTGCAAGTATCTTCCTGAAAAGATTGTGTGTTCGTGTATATAAAATACAATTTTGCAGCTAAACATTTCCATAAATAATTATATACTTATGCATTGTACGACTTATTTTTCCAAATTCCATTTCTTGCAGATGGTTTTTAAAGTACCCCTTAGGCCAGCCAGGAAAGATGGAACTTGTTACTTAAGAGACAAATTCACATTGGCCTAGATTCAAAACCACTGCCGCTGGACCTGTGCAGGGGGTTGGACTAGAAGACCTCCAAGGTCCCTCCCAATTCTGTTATTCTGCCACCATACTAGACCATTATTCCTCAAGGCAGCAACAATAGCTACAACTTTAAATCGCAAATACTATTCTCTACTGGTCCCTTCCCATGAATGGATGGCATTTTCACAGGATATGGTTATCCTGTCTGGATCCCAGAGATCATTTACCTTGACAAACGATGATGCTAAAGTTTCTAAAGCTGGCCAACTTTCAAAATTGGCATATCACGGGGACAAGAGGAGATCCTTTGCCAACGTTACGCACCTACAGCCCCCCCTAATTCTATTTTCCAGCAATGTTACCACAAACAAAATGAAAGGTAGCAGAAAGAAAGACAAGCAGCAGGGAAAAGCTGGGGCCCGGAGGAAGAGCCCCAGCTCTTGTAACGGTCACTTACCAAACTGGGTATAGGGGAAATCTGGCTGGGCAGCTGGAGGCTTGTTCATGTCCTGAGTTGGCTGAGATGGCGGGGGAGGCGGAGGGAAAGCGAGTGGTGTTGCCCCAGGGGTGGCAGGCGGTGGAGGAACACCGGCAGGAGCAAACTGCTCAGGTGGAGGAGGTGGGGCACCATACCCAAAGCCTAAAGGGAGGAACAGAAACCAGGTACGTTTTTACCGTAAAACTCACGTTAAAAGTTCTCCACTTTTACTGACTTTAAGTCACCAACCCTCATATTAAAATCAAGGATTTTTTTTTTCTGTCAGCAACTCTGTAATCCCTTGCATCAAGGTGGAATCAGGGCGACTGAATGGAGCTGAGAGTTTACTGGCGGGATGCCCTTCCTGACGCCTACACAGAGTTCACAGCAAATATTTTATTTTTGGGCCCAGAGATATATATATATATCTGTCGCTACCTAGAATTGAACTCACAGCCTCCTGATTGTGAGGTGACAGCTCTACCTCTAGGCTACGACACTGCTCATCAAATTAAAATCAAGAAATAAAGCTAGGAAAATAATGTTTGATAGAATTTGCAGTGAGTGGACATAGAAATCAGTCTAAAACAGTGATGGTGAACCTTTTAGAGACCGAGTGCCCAAAAACTGCCCCCCACCCACCCGTCCACGCTCCGCCATGTCCGCTGGGCCACCAACCATCTTCACGGCCCACCACAGATCACCTGCGCACAACGCGGCACAAGGGCAGAGTCTTGTCCCCGCTGCCCGGCTACCATGTCCTTGGCTGCGCTGCTTTGCGTGGGCCATGCCCGGGGGGCGACTCTCCTCTGGGGGCTGCTGGTGAAGAGGGGGCCGTGGGAGGAGGCAGGGCTGGGGCGACAGTGCGTGAGCCCACAGAGAGGGCTCCGAGTGCCGCCTCTGGCACGCGTGCCATAGGTTCGCCACCACTGGTCTAAAACATGAAGCCTTAGGCTCAAGTCCAAGCCTGGTTCAATTCAATCAATCAATCAATCAATCAATCAGAATAAGCTGGAAGGGACCTTGGAGGTCTTCTAATCCAGCCCCCTGCTCAAGCAGGAGTCCCTATATTATTTCAGACAAGTGACTGCCCAGTCTCTTCTTTAAAACCTCGAGTGATAAAGCACCCACAACGTCTGCAGACTCTCAGCCTATCCTACCTCACAGGTGGGGGTGTGCCAGATATGTGCCATGAGCTCTTTTTTAAAAGCTGGGATTTAAAAATGTCACACACAAGTATAGCTGGAAGCAGTACTTACTGAAGGGTGGAGGAGTGCCGTAGCCCTGTGCGAAACCCTGTGGGGGTGGGAATCCTCCTGGAGGTGTCGAAACAATGTACGAGGTAAAAGGCGGTGGCGGAGGTGGCGCTCCTCTACCTGGTGGAGGGGGACCATACCCACCTGGAGCCAGTAAGAAGTGTGTTGAGAAAATCAAAGGCATTTAACAGATGAGCCAACCCCAACAAAAAGGGTGTTCCCAATCTATTGCACTAGGCATCATATTTCTCCAAAACTTGGAGGCGCTAAAGTCAAGAGGAACTGGGGAATTAGGCATTCAAGCTATTGAGACTGTGGAAAGAATCCATTTTAAATCATTTTCTGACGTGAATAACTAGCTTCTGCGTGAAGATTTCTTTCTTTCTCTTTTAGGAATTGGTTCTGCAGCACTTGTATTCTAGTACAAGGGTCCCCAACCCCTTGTGGACCGGTACCGGGCTGCGGCATGCCAGCAACCGGGCTGCACAAACAAGCAAAGCCCCATCTGTGGGATGCAGGCAGCACACAAAACCACGCACTCTCTGGTCTGTGGAAAAACCTTTCTCCACAGAACAGGTCCCTGGTGCCCAAAAGGTTGGGGACCTCTGTTCTAGTACACTTTAGTATTTAAAATGGTCTCTCTCCAACTGCCATTTCTTACATTCAAACTGAAGAAACCAGACACTCAAATGTTGGGTGTTTTTCAATACCGAAGAAGCCAGAATGATCTACTGTGGGGAGAAAATCTCTTCTGGCTTTTTGGTATTCAGGAATTCAATGGGCACCAGGTATTCTCACAAAATATTTCACGAGGACCCCAATTCTCTTCTCTAGCTTTAATCACAGTTGATTAAGCTCCAATTACATGCACTTCAGCTCTTTGAAAATAGGTAATGCCTTAAAGGTAACTGCAGGCAAAAATTTGTAGTCTGGTAAAAGATCATTCCAGTGATTTCCAGAACATTCCAATGCCAGACAACCAAATGGTCCGCCACGCTCCTTTTTAAACTATTTTTTTTTAAAAGCAGTCTTAGATAAAGAATGCCTCCATTTTTAAAAACTGCCACAGATACAATTCTATTTGCTTTGAAAATGGAGAAAAAAAATATATGTGAAGGTTATATCCAACTTCAGGTTGGAAGCAGGGCTCGCCAGAACGAAAGGCGATTCTTAATTATTCAATTCTTAATTATTTTACTCCACTAATCTACCATCATGCTCATATGAACTGGTCTGTTATACTAAGATTAAAAATACAGAAATTAGTTAAGCCTAAGATCAGCAATAAACATAAATAACAGTAACAGAGCAGTCCATCCATTATCTGTCAAGACAAATCATACACCAAATGGCCAGTTAAGCAATATTTATTTATCTTGCCTTTATTATTATTTTTTTTTATAAATACCTCAAGGTGGCAAACATACTTAGTGCTCTTTCTTCCTCCTGTTATCCCCACAGCAACCACCCTGTGAGGTGTGCTGGGCTGAGAGAGTGACTGGCCCAAAGTCACCCAGCCAACTTTCATGCCTAAAGCGGGACTAGAACTCACAGTCTCTTGGCTTCTAGCCTGGAGCCTTAACCACTAGACCAAACTGGCTCTCGTGGTCTTGATGCCTTGTGAAATAGCTACAGGAAGGGTGCAAGGTGTAGCTCCGAAAGCAGCTTGATCCAAAGCTTGGGGATTGCTACAGAGGAGGAGTATCAATATCATATCTTGGTATTATATCCCCCTGATTTGATGCAGGGACGGGGCCCTAAACTTTCCCGTCCCACATGCACACCTGGGCTAGGGCAGATACCGCTTCATCCGGCAGGCATCTAGCGGCCACGCCATGCGGGGCTTTGCAGCCATGCAGCACTTTGTTATCAGAGATGTAGTGGTAACCAAAGGGAGCAACTGGAGCAGAGGAATTCTATTGCAGTCGGGACTCGCACCTGCTAGCATCCTGGCCACTGAATTTTGTACCAATGGTAGTTTCCAGGTCATTTTCAAAGGCAGCCCCATGTAGAGCGCATTCCAGTAATCTAATTATGTGGAGATGAATTACAGCCTACACATGGAGAATCTGCAACTGGAGATTTTATTTCTAAGTACAAAATATATCAAGGCACCAACCCCGGGCATAAGGAAACCGGGGTAAGATTTAGTCTCTGTTGTCCTGTTTCTTTCTCCATACAATGGAACAACTTCTATGCAGGGCTACTGTGATGTTTAAGCTGTTTTTCACATGGCCATACTCAATTCTATCTTCTTTTTTTGATATTAGAAGAACAGCCTCTTTGTGCACAAACAGACTGTGTGGTGAAAAAAAGGCCTAGTCCAGGGGTAGGCAACCTAGGAAAGGGTGATTGATTCCCTGTCTCCAGATCTTCCCGGTATCTGACAAATGATTAAATGTACACACATACAAACACACTCGCGCAAGCTTTGATTATCTATGAGAAGTTCTAAGGTACAATGATTGTCTCCCAGCTCAAGAAACCTATGAATTCTTGTTCAAAGGGCCCAAATGCTTCAAAACAACAGATGCAAAAAGATCATTGGAGAACAAAGGCAAAAAAATGCACACAGAGTTAAGATTTTGCTAAAAATCTGAACCTGAATCATTACAATTTCAGTACTGACTATGCACATTTTTAAAACTCTCAGAACATACTTACCAAGTGCTTGTCCAGCTGGTACCCACATACCTAAGGCAGATGGAGAAGTAGGAAAAGACACACGACACACACATACACACACACACACACAAAACAAAAACAAGTTACCATAACTGTTTCATCAATTCATTAAACTTTATCATTCTGCAAAGTTTAACACTCTCTATTAGGAAAGTTACTAATATTACACACAATTACTCTGAAGATGTTTGGACATCAAAGTGGGGAAAATGTTACAGGGAATCCAAGATGCAGCCCTAATGGAGATGCCCAAAACTGAGAAGTCCACAATGGATTAATGAAACTGGATTTGGATAAAAATGGGATTTAATCTTCCCACCTCGTGCAAAATTCAAAGAGAGAGACTCTTGTTTTATAGGGCTGATGTCCATTTTCAGAAAGTAAGATTTAATTTCCTTGGTACAAATGAAAAGGCAGAGCTTGGTAGGGTCTCACACCAGCGGCATAAGTTTTCCAATACACATAGTTCTCAACATGGGAGTTTGCCCACTACAGTTGTATGCTGTGATGGTCAGAATGTAGGTCAGTCACATGACTAATCCAATGTTATAACATTTTTCGCAACCAATGGTTAAACAAACTGATTTTCAGCAAAAACTCTCACAAATGTGACCTTAGAATGCTGCAAACTGTAAGTGTGGCTGTGTTGTTGGGCACCTGAAATTTAGTCATGTGACCCTGGAGGGGCCCCCACTGTCGGAACTTCAGATCCAGGCCGTAACTCTCCATTTTCAGGTCTGTTGTGAATTCAAATGATTGCTAAGTGATTAGACATAAATCAAGGACTTTCTATACTCCGTAAGGAATCTGTGCTGCCCACCAGTATCGCAGAAGTCTTGCATTATAGCATAATCAAGTGGTACAAGAAACCATATATATATATAATCCTGACAGGAACGTAAGATTGTTATTCAGGGCCTGGCCTCAAGTAAGCCTGATCCTGATTTGAGTGAACCCACAAATGGGTGTGTGTTAAGGCAGACTGAAGCCATTTGGGATCCCCAAACCCAAATGGAAAACTGGTACCTTGAGGTCCGTATCCTTGTTGCCAGGTAGGTGGGGGCTGTCCTGCCCAGCCATTGGCAGCACTTGGCATGATCCGGCTTCCCCACTGGCTGGTGCCTGTTGGCCCTGGAGTCTGGCTCTTACTATCCCGAGGTTCGGCCCGCTTCACCTCCACCTAAACAAAGGGGACAAATGTTCAGACCTAGGGGACAGAAAGGCAGCTTGCCCCCCTTTTACCCATCACACACACCCTTATCTTTAACACTTAAAAAACTTTATCTTAGCATGATATGACTTATTGCTAAGTACTTAAAAGTATTGCAAGCTTATATTTTAAGGCTGCTAATTTAATCAATGTTTCTCAGGTACAATGGATAACAAAGAGTAAGCCATTCTTAAACTTCACACACAGTGCTAGGATAAATTATGCCTATTCGTGATTTCTCTTCTGTTTTGTTACTTTCTTCCTCATTTTAAAGCAGCAGTACCATCTCCTCAGTGGGCTTTCACTCTCCGTACGTAAGTCTTGATAGTAAGATAGGCCAAAAACGGTTGTTATAAACAAGGGTGAAGAGAACATAATGGAGGAGGTACTAAGGCTTTAGCCAGGCCTTGGGGAGGGATTGTTCTGGACAATGTTGAATAAAGAAGTTAAATTGATAGCTAAGATCTATCACAATTAAACTGCTGTTCAGTTTTGGTCATACCTGAGAAACACACATTGTATTCATTTTGTCTGTTGGTTTCAAATCCTTTTTATCTTAAAGATTTGTTTTATTATTATTATTATTATTATTATTTAAAAGTCTAATGGAAGATAGAGACTTACCTTCCCCAGGCTAACGCTTAAAGAACCTCAATTAACTCAAACAATGTCAGAAGGAATGGATGTGATAAGAGAACCTTACATTACATCTAACAAAAAAAGTAAACAAACATGCAGGTAATAAAAAATGGACAGTTGAGTCAATAAGAAGCAAAACCTTCATACTGTGTTCAGTCATGGAAAAAAAACATTCTTTGCAAAGAAGGGGAGGAAAGACCAAAAGGAAGGCACCCCTGTGCGGTGGGGCCTTAAAAAAATGGGCTTGGCCTATGTGAAGTAAAACGACTTCCCTGCTGAATGCAAAGGTCCTGAAGAATTGTCTGGGGTTAATCCAAACACACTCAGCAAAGCTAATTGCAGGATTTAATGGGAGGAATTTAGCTTTGCATCAATGAGTGAACCTGAAAACAGAGCAGGCTTAAGAGTCCTGGTTCTCTCTAGCTACATTTCAAGCATTTTTTACTTTCAAAGAATTTAGGTAAATGGGCACAGGACCTTCCTTAAAGCTAAGTGGGCCTTATTGTGGGGAGACAATCAAGAATCCATCCCATTCTCTTGTGAATTAACCTGGTGCACGAATGGCAGAATTAAAATAAATCCACGTCTAGTGTTCTAGACTGTGCTTCTATGCCAGTGGTTCTCAATCTTTTTAATGCTGCGACCCCAACCGGTCGTAAGTCGAGGACTAAACCGGTTGTAAGTCGAGGACTAAACCGGTCGTAAGTCGAGGACTAAACCGGTCATAAGTCGAGGACTACCCAACCGGTTGTAAGTCGAGGACTTTCCCTGCCCGGGAGCACCGCACATGCGTGGTTCCGCCCCCTGAGCTGGCCGAGGCGTAGCTGGCAAGCGGCAGAGACGGAGCAGGCCGACCACCAGCTGGCCCAGCCCAAGGGAGGTAATGCACCCGCCGGAAAAGGGGGAAAAATGGCGGACAAAAAAATGGCGGACAGCCTTGCTTGGTGACCCCCATGAAATGGTCGATCGACCCCAAATGGGGTCCCGACCCACAGGTTGAGAACCACTGTTCTATGCTGAGCAGATCAATCCTGCCTTCAAATGCCCTGAATCGTCCCATGGTTTAATATTCTAAAAACAACTTGGTTACCATCTGTATAAGAAGGCGGGGCAGGGTACTGGCTTTCACGAGTTTTCAACTTACAACAGTTCACTTAGTGACTGTTCAAAATTACAACAGCACTGGAAAAAAAGTGACTTTGGGCCGTTTTTCACATTTACAACTGTTGCAGCATCCCCTGTGGTCACGTGATCAAAATTCAGACACTTGGTAACTGACTCATATGATGGTTGCACTGCCCCGGGGTCATGTGATCAGCATTTGCGACCCTCTGACAAACAGAGGGAAAACCAGATTCACTTAACAAGCGTATTACTAATTTAGCAGTTGCGGTGATTCACTTAACAACTGTGACAAGAAAGATTGTAAAATAGGGCAAAATTCACTTAACTGTCTTGCTTAGCAACTGTCTTGCTTAGCAATTGTGGTTGTTAAGTCGACGACTACCTGGCTTATTATTTTTAAAAAATTTCCCAGTAAGATTTTAGGACATTTGAAGTCCTGCAGTTTCCCCAATAATGTTTTGGGACTGAGGAAAATAGGGTGGGATTTCTCAAGAAGTCAGCAATTTGCATTTCGCTAGCCAACAAAAACCTTGACATCTGAACTTTATTTTGCTTTGTTTAGCATTCTTAAATGTCTGTCCCTGTGCCTTTGGTCTGGTCCACTTGAGATTTTGTCTCCAGTTTGTAAGGATGCTTCTCCAAGAGGGACCACGAAGGATGCTACTTTTGAAACCGGTCCAGGAGGCCCTGGAAGTTTGCCTGAGCTGCTCTGACATTTTGAAGAGTTGCTCTACTGCAGAGGTCCCAAACCTTTTGGGCAGCAGGGACCGGTGCCATGGAGAAAGGTTTTTCCTACGGACCAGAGGGCGGTGGTGGTTTTGAATATTGCCTGCATCCCGAGGATGGAGCTTTGCTTGTTTGTGCGGCCCGCTTGCTGACATGCTGCAGACCGGTGCCGGTCCACGGACCGGGGGTTGGGGACCCCTGCTCTACTGGCTTCACCGGACCAGTGTTAGCAACTCCTGGATTTAATTAGCACCAAACCAAAGAAGTAGTAGTTCCAGGTCTTGCTTAGGAATAAACTTCACTAATTGTTTAAATGGCATTGATTGCTCATGCATTAGCGAGCATATCCTAGAACAGGGCTTTTCAACCTTTTCACCCATTGTACCACTTTTAGGATATGGCAATATCCGAGTACCACCAGTCGCCTAGCAAGGTGTCAAAAACTTGATGACCACAAAAAAAGGAAAAAAGTGATAAAGTACAGGTAGTCCTCAACTTACAACAGTTCGCTTAGTGACTCTTCGAAGTTACAGTGGCACTGAAAAAAGTGCCCCCCAAGGCACAGCCGAGCAAGACATCTGCCTGCTCGCTCTTTCTCCTGTCCGAGGTTTTCATTGTTGTGAGCATTTCTGTTGAGGATTGGCAGCAGGGGTGGGGTGGGGGGGTGTTTGGTTTTTATTCCCTCCGTCTGCTGGGTAGTTGCAGCAGGTTTTGGTCACTTCACATGACCCTGGGACACTGTGACCATCATAAATATGAATCAGCTGCCAAGCATCTGAATATAAATCACAAGACCCTGGAGAGGCTGCAACATTCCAGCTGATTGGCGCTTCTTCTGGGCTCAGAAGCACCAGGATCAGCGGCAAGCTCCAGCTGGAGCCTGGTGCTGTTCCTGGTGCTTCCACTGAGCCCTGACAGCCCTGCAGCTCCAGCCATCTCTCGCTCAGGCTTGTGCGGTGCTGCCACCGGTTCAGCTCATTCTCCTCCCCCGCTACCACTTTTCTAGGATGGTCGCGTACCACCTGCTAGGTGCCAATGTACCACAGGTGGTACCCGTACCACTGGTTGAAAAGCCCTGTCCTAGAATACGCTTCCAGGGTCCAGAAAAATTTAATGGGTTCTGACAAGAAATAATTTAAACTTGAAAAAAGAAAATCATCCAATAGCTGTAAAACACAAACCAGAATGCATCAAGAGGATAGGATACCCTGTTTTTCAATAAGGAAATATTTTCGGAAAAGCTATTCCAGTTGAAGGCTTTGTTGTTTTGGTGACACAATCCAGCAAAACGGCAAGCGCTTCATATATTTGTCACTACAACCTATGTGCTGCTGCTTCATTTCTGGAGGCTTTGAGCGGCTTATAATTTATGTTTGGTATAAGAGCCTTCCATGTTCCCTTTTCAGCGAGACTTTTCCTACAAAGCTCAAAGCTGCAGCCTGTACGTCTTAAGTTACTCTTCCTCTGGCTTGGTTCCTAAAACGAAGCCATGCTCAAAGGCGAGTTCCTTAAATCAGAGTGAGATGGCAGAAACCTTTTCACCCGTCAAACCTCTTAGGAGTGCTGACAACACAGTATGAAGATAACAACAATCAAAAGGTCACTTAACTGTATTGTGGTTAAAAAGTACTATTAAAAGAATATGTGGATTCATTTCAAAGCCCCACAGTAAGTGACCCATTTTTTTTTTTAAATTTCAACCATTCCTTCACGATGCTTCTGTCAGTTGGTTGCTTAAGTTTAGTCCCCCTTCCTCTTCCCCACCCCAGAATCCCTCCACCCCCAAGTTTGAATGTGAAGACAAAGAACACACATCTGAAGGAATAGTAATGGGAAGCTGAGCCTTTGGCAACGTAGAGATTTCACTGCCGTTTCAAACAGAAAATAAAAAGTTGACTTCCATTCCCTTTTTTTGTACTCTGTGGTTTTCAAGGTACAAAATACGTGTGAACAGTAATGACGGTACAACTTAGAATTTAGACAAGCAAACGCAACGGCCTCCAACATATTAGGACTCCAAAACTAGTGCATTCTGTAACTCAATAAAGTGCTCTTACCTATTATTAAAGTAAAAGTTTACAGACACATAGCTTTTCTCCACGTCAATTTATTCGAAGTGTTTGCCTCAAACAGACAAAGCATGTCTGTTTTTCAGTATTTCCTTCCTATTCTGTACTTGGGAATGAAGAATATGTAACTGTAAGCCCTGCGTGGTATGAGGGGTCTTTCATGCTCTCCGAGCTTGGCTGTTTTCTTGCAGACGTTTCATTGCCCAAAGTAGGTAACGTCATCAGTGCTGGCACTGATGAGGTTACCTAGTTTGGGCAATGAAACGTCTGCAAGAAAACAACCAAGCTCAGAGAGCACCAAAGACCCCCTCATTTCAATACTGAGCTACAAATATTCTCCTTTATTGGCATTGCATGGTATGATAAGCCAGCTGGGTCAGATCAAATGAGGTAATTTCAATTCAATAAGCCATTTAGCTGCATATTTGGCTTCTGTTCTCTCTCACACACAGCTTGATATCGACCCTGAAAGTCCCGTGTGAAGATGCAAGAGAGAAACGAATGAGTAGATAGACGTTTCTTTTTCTGACCCATAAACCCTGGTTTATTGGATTAAGTTCATGATGCCTGAACTCAAATATTAGCTTTTATGGAAGTTGGTCTGCCATGATTCTTCTTAAACAAAACATTCCAAAAGAATCTATAGGCAGCTGAAGCACACACAATGAAGTAGCTTATAAAATGGGTTTCTGAATGTGGTTTTACCCAAATTATTATTATTTTTTTTAATCCCCTCTACTCTGCCACCCAGTTTCCATTCGCCAGCCAAATTGCTAGTTGCCTCAAGACTCAGCTTTGTCTTAAGGTAAAATAAAACTACAACTACACACTTTTTTGCCCATGATGTCGTGAAAATGCATGTTGACAGCCTGGTCCACTGATTGTTCGTCCTCGAAAGTAATAAATCCAAAACCTAGCCAACGACGAAGAGTGAATCAAGGTAGCAGGGTGTTGTGACACAAAACAGGATGATGAACAGTATTAGGGGCGGACCAAGGGTTCAAACCAGGGCTTCAGGTGGGCTTGGGCTGTGGGGAGCTCAGTGCTAGCTTGCAATTACCAGACCATCTTGGATCAGGGGAATAAAGTGGCTAGCTCAGCACTCCGTGCAAAATTTACTGAGGCAGAAAACATGGCTTAGTGCCCACAAACACCCCCCCTTTTTTTTTACCCTACTAACAAATGCTGGAGAGAAAAAAATCCAACTTAGTTCTGTGCAGAACACCTGCCTCGAGTTACTAAGGCCAAGTCAATTCATAAAACCTCCATTTACACGATATTCATAATAATTTTGTTTAAATGCCATCTGGCAAATTTGGAAAGCCACTGAGCAATAGCATAAAAGTGAAAAAAAGAGAGGATGGTCCTGGGCAAAAACATTTTGGGACAGGTTGTCTTATCGGTTCCCTCCCTCCCTCCCTCCTCCCCGAAACCTGAGATTTCCCCCTTGGTTTCATTTTGCTTTGCAGCTAGTCTGACAGCAGCCATTTATTGCTCTAAAGCGTTCAACAGAAAAACAGATACAGTCTCTGTAACAGTTAGTGTCTCTCTAAGCTTATCCAACGTGGTTGGGTAAGCTCGCAGAGCCTTATTGTAGAGATTTATACTTAATAAGACACAAAGATACAGGCCAAGATCGGGTCGCAGCAGGTCAAAATTCTGCTGCCAGCAACAAGAGCAAGACACAAATTAAGAAATAAATGGGATTTGGGGGAGGTGGAGGAGGCAACTTTTAAAGCATCTCCTGCAGGCAAGTGTTTGCATTGTGGCCAAATGGGAGTTGAACCAGTGACGTGTGAGCCTTTTAAAGAGCAAGGAATTGTTTTAAAAGCCAAAATAGAGGAGTCTGGGAGGTATTTTTTTAAAAACTGCAAAAAGGGGCGTTTCTGCATCCCAATGACACACACAATATAAAAGATTTAAATATATTGATTTTAAACATAGAATAGTGTGTTGTTTTCCTGGCTTGGGGTTAGGTGAAAAGAAAAAGGCCTCGGAACCAAACTAAGAAAAAACAGAATTGCAGCAGTAGGAGAGAAAGACACAGCAACGCCTGAAGAATTGGAGCCAGGCTTGATGACTGTGTTTATGGGATGGCCAACAGTAGAGACGGCGCTTGGGTGCTTTGGGCGGAGATGTCATCATAGACAAGTTTGCGAAGTGAAGGGGAACAACCCGGAGAACCAAATAGAGCAAACAGAGGCTGGATGGACATATGGTACACTGCATTGCACTTCATATTCAGAGCGAGGTAAAGAGAGATGCGCTCCTTGAAAATACCTTTAGAAATTGGAAAGAAGAATATTGATGAAATGATCTGAAGATGATAGGATTCTGAACCTGATTGTGAAGATTTAAATACATTAAGAGAGGTGGAGTTGGACTCCGACCAAGAGCAAAATGGGTAAAAAAAAAAAAAGGGGGGGGGGGACACACTGAGAACATGTATGCCTTAATTTCTTTCCTAGAGGTTTTTGTTGATTCTTCATAGCAAAGTCTAGGGCAGGGGTAGGCAACCTTGGCTCTTTGATGACTCGTGGACTTCAACTCCCAGAATTCCTGAGCCAGCCATGCTGAGGGGAAATGGAGAGGTTTCCAAGCTGAGCCATGCTGGCTCAGGAATTCTGGGAGTTGAAGTCCACGAGTCATCAAAGAGCCAAGGTTGCCTACCCCTGGTCTAGGGGGAAAGAGAAAAAGGAACAAAGGCATTTTTTTTCTCACATCCTAAAAACAATCTGTTCCCAAGATTAGAGTCCAAGAAGCATATAGCATCCTTCAAATTGTTGCGAGACCCAAATAGGCAAAGTCATGCCAACCAGATGTTTTGGTCGTTAAGAACCTAAATGTTTGATCACAACTTGCTATCTTGGTAACAGCATAGGGGAATTCTAACTGGAGGGCACCAGGTTGCCTGTCCCTGCCATAATCAGCCAGGTACTTCAATGGAGAGTATTCTCTGCCTCTTTTCAATTCGGTCCAACTGTCCAATGATGACATTGTCCAATGATGTCCATCTGGTTCCTCAACAGCTCAGATGAGATGGAGATGATGAGTCCAGTCAATGTATGCATGCTCTTTGAATACCTAGAACCAAGTCGCACATTTCTCTGGGAGAGTAGATTAAAAAAGAGAGAGCGGAATTCTTCAAGATACAAGGTCTGTAAAGCCAACTCCAAGTTGATGTAATTCAAAGGCGATTAGGCTCTTTAGCTTGATTGACAACTGTGCTTAGGCATAATTAAATTTCTTTTAACTACGGCATATGCAATTCTCATACTGATTAAAAAAATCTTCAATATGCTGGGTAAATTATCTATATTCTCTCTAGTAACACAATTAACCTGGCTATTTTTTCAGCTTGATTATTCAGATTTTGGAAACAAAATCTCATGTAAAGACATATTAAATGTCAGGTTCATAAAAATGATTTATGAGGGTGACAATGCTGTATTCCAGGGCTAGAGAGCCATTCTTATTTTGAGATAACTTTATTGCTTCAAGCAACTTAGCTGTTCACCAACAGGTTTTGCAACCAGACTTAGTGCAACCCAATTGGGAAGGTTACTAGTCTTGGAGAAGAATTGTGTTTTAAACATTACAGCTCGGACTTGAAACCACTGGCTGATTTCGCTATGAACAAAGCATAATTAAAAGCAAGAGGGCATGTAAGATTCAGACAACTGTTAAAAAAAATACAAGAAACATAGGATCTTTTAAAAATAGGCTTAAGAGTTTTACTTGGAAATAAAGAAGTTCTCCTAGCAATTTTAAAGGCAGCCTTTGTGGGTTATCATGGTGCCAAATATATTCCTTTTTACTGGCCTGCTGTCTGATTTTGCTGATCACACTTATTCAAAGGAGAAGAGGCATAAGACTGTAATGGGAACAGTAAGTACAGGTAAAAGCAGGTACTGTAAGCTACGTGCTCAAAAGAGTTTGCTTGTACCTGGAATGTAAGATTCAACTACTGAATTGTAGATGAACATTGAAGAACTAGCTGAACACTGAACAAAGTGAGCCAAGTTGCAAAGGCAGCGTTTTAGTAGCCCTGCCCCTCTTTGGCAATCCTCAAGAGGTTACAATATTGTGCCCACACGGAGAGCTGCTGTCAAGTGGACCAATTTCCTCCAGCTCAAAGTCTTTTGGAGGGGCAGCATATTTGGCAGCATAGGCTTGCAGCTTAGAAAAGGGAAAGAACTGAAGATTAGACAGCAGGAGTTTTATAAAGGACTTTATAGGCCAATTAAAAGTATTTCTGTGATAGTATGTGGGCAGGTCAAGAGTTTCAGGGCCATCCATCAGAAATGCGTTAGGTTTACATTTTATTTACTGAGAATATGGGGTGGACTGATGCAAAATATAACAAGATCCTTTGCTCATGTGCCTTGCTTCCAAGATTCCTATGTCGGGGTTTTGTTTTGTTTTTGCAATGAGGGAACAAAATGACGGACCGGATAGGCAGAATTCCTATAGTCGATTTCTTCTACTAGCTTAAGCATGTAAGTACACACAGAGGTATGTACATAAAGATGCTGCTCTTTGCTGTGTCGGTGAATTTTTCTGTTGAAATAGTGCAAAGCTGTCACAAAACAAATTAGAGCAACTGCCCCTCGTAGCTCCTCCCACACCACATAGTAAAAACTTTTATTTACACTCCATTAAAGACAAAGCCCGGTCCCTCCTCCGTTTGTGGAAATGGCCTGTACCTCTGTGATAATCTATCACCTAGAGAGAAGAAATCTAAAGAGATATTAATCAAAAATCAGTTTACAGAGAGAGAGAAAAGAGAAGGAAAGAAAGAACTTAATGTTTACTGTACTTTTACTATGAAACACTTATATATGTCACTAAAGGTGTGTCTAAATTAAAGATAAAACTAATACTTAACACTTAATAAATATGAAGTGAAGAATTTATATATTATATATATATATATATATTTCTTTAAATAACAGAAACAAGAAGGAGAAGTGGAAAGTCCAGATGGCAAACTATTTTCCAGCATGTTTCACATGCTATTGTGTGGTTGAAATGCAACTCACACTGATGTTTTAAAAGTATTGCTTCTAAAAAAAAAAAAAAAAAAATACTGAAAGGTGACTGGTGCGATGAACAGCTGGGGAACACAACGGCCACTTTCTGCTGGGACCAAAAACGAATTAGGTTAAGTGGCTCAGGTCTGCCAAACTGAGGGAGTTGCTTTTTCCAACATACAAGCGGCATCATAAAATTAAAAGTTGCCACATTTATTCCCATCCACAGAATGTTTCAAGCAACAAATGGCTTTTGGCTCCAAATTTCAGCTGTAGCCACTTAAAGAAAAGAAAATGTGAGAAATGTAGCAAGCATAACAACATCTGTTCCAGTCTGGCACCTCACAACAATTCCTGTCCTAAAACCAAAAAATAGGCCCTTGGTTCTAATGGTGCCTACTTTTAAAGGTGGAAAAATCAAAGGTATCCAGTTACTCCGTCTCATGGCTTTGCGCTCACTTATTTGAAAGGAGCCGATCAATACAGGTGCCATGCCTTTGTTAAGGAAAACACCTTTTCAGACTGGTATAAGTGAACAACATGGCAATGTGGTATCTGACTTCAAAAAACATAATACAGGATGAAATAGCATGAAAAGCCTCTGTGAAAGTCTGCTCAGTGAAATACAATTCCTGAGGCAGCTTGCAAAAGACATATATACATATATGAGCACACATGTCCATACATATATATGTGGATGTTGTGTAAGTTTGCCATCTGACACAGGAAGAGGATAAAGAAATTTCAAAGGTTAACTAGATTCTTCTTTACCTCGGGGTCGCTGTTTCTCTGCGTCATAAATCATTACCACTTCGGTAACCTGAAAAAGATTAAAAAAAGGAAAATTCTACTAATGATTTTATTAGAGGAATCTAATTTTATCAGACGGACCTTTATCAGCAGGATGAAGCAAAATAAAAAATATATATAATTGAACCTTTCCTGTGGGACCCTTGGTGCTCTCCGAGTTTGTTTCCTTGCAGACGTTTCATGACCAAACTAGGTGACATCATCAGCGCTGATGCAGGGCAGTGCAGCGCTGATGATGTCACCTAGTTTGGTCACGAAATGTCTGCAGGAAAATAACCAAGCTCTGAAGACCCCAAGGTTCAACCCTAAGCTATAAATATTATCTTCTATCATGAACTTTTGCTATGTGGATAAACCTCCACCAATCAGGCTCCTTTCTTCAAATGGGGCTTTGATATGGAGGAACTTTTCAGAGCTTGCTTCCTTGTGTATTAACAAAACACAATACAGATTGCCCAGCCTGGCTACTTTGGTCGTCCCTTATCAAGTGAGGGAAAAGTACCTTGGCTTCAGAGGAACTCCTGCCAATATAGGTCAAAGCCACAAATACGTAGCAGTATTGTGGGTATATTAAGAAGACTTTGATTGGCGAAACCCACAATCTTCCCACTGCTGCCTCCAAACATAGTATACTAGCACTGGAGCTGCCATTATAATTTCTTCCCAACAGGAAGAAAATCGAAAGGAAACAAACTTCTTCCAGCATATGTCTTACAGACTGAGGCCAGTCCCCTTGCATTTGAATCTTCTCACTTTAACAGTAGGAGTATGCAGCCATTACTATTATTACTGGCACTGAATAATTATGAACAATCAGTAATTTAAATACCAACAGGACAAGGCAAGGCCCCTCTTGAGAATCCGGGACATAATCTACTACTCTGAGCCCTTTGAAAGCGTCCGACAGATGTGGCCATGGTTAATTGTGCTGAAGCAGCAGAAAAACATCTTATTAAAAAAGGAAGAAAAGCAGGTAGCTCTGGGGAATGAGGACTGGTGCCTTAACCAGACGAACAAACAAGGAACACCGGGTACAGTATACTTTACAATATGTCTTTGTAATTATTTTAAACAGGTAATTCAACTCCCTAAGGTGACAGAGCCTGCTAGCCTAAGTAGCTGTCACGCAATAACTATCTTTACTCACCTTTGATTTGCTCATGTATTCAAGAGGCAATTTAGAGACTGCTACAGTGTGATGGAGGGCAGGAAAAAAAATACAGAGCTCCTGATTAGACTTCCTCCTACCTCGAGACAGCATGCTTCCCTCAACTTTCATCCCCATTTCCCAAGCAGCCCCTTTCTTTCTTTCTTTCACACCCTATAAAAGAAGCTGAACAATGTGTGAAAGAGCCATCACTGTGTCCCAACTTTATACTTGAGTTTTATCTGTGGTTCTTTAAATCAGAAAAAGAGGTAGGGTTAATCTGTAAACACTAAGAGGGATACTTTCCCCCTAATTAGAAAGAAAACAAAGGGCTTCAGTAGAAAATGAATACACCAATCTCAGATAAAAAGAAGTCAGTCAAGTCTCTGCATTTCAACCAGTATCTGCTACAGCAAGAGGACTTCTCATATATAGAGGCTCTTTTGTTGAGCACCAAGAAGCTACTTTACACCAGGGGAGGCTGGGCCTATGCTGCTGGAAGAACAGCAGAGCAAAAGATCATTGGAAAGAAGGGAACATATTGATCATTCAAAGGCTTTTAAGGAACATTTGTCCTAAAAGCGGCAAATTTCTCCCAAGGGAGGCCTTTTCGACCCAAAGGACAACTACATAATGAAAAGGAATATGCGGGGTGAGTTTTTAGTGTTAATTTGAAGACTGTTTAGTTGCCTAGGTTCAAATTACCAAATGGAAATCCTATTGTGAATTAATTCCCTTTGGGGGCCTATCCAATTATGCCTTGACAACTGTCCTCTCCCAAAAGGAATGTCAAGTTTCTGATCCAGCTGGTCAAAATAGTCAAGTTATAAACACCTCTTGATCCCCTTTTATTTGTACTTTTCTGTGAGTTCAAGACAATTTACCTAAGGTCTACCCTAATTTTACATCTACCGTGCTTGCCTGAAAATAAGACCGGGGCTTATAGTAATTTTTGCTCCAAAAGACGCATTAGGGCTTATTTTCCGGTTAGGTCTTATTTTCGGAGAAATACGGTACTAAATGCATCTGTTTGGCTGACAATCTTAACTGGGGCTTCTTTTTGGGGTGGGGCTTATACGATGAGCATCCTGAAAAATCATACCAGGGCTTCTTTTCCGGTTGGGTCTTATTTTCGGGGAAACGTGGTAGTACCAATTACTGTACTTTGTGTGAAGCGGGTTAGGCAGAGAAAGAAAATAAATGGATTGAAGTTATTCCAGAAGTTCCACAATCAAGTGCATGTTTGAATCTAGGTCTCTCCAAGCTCAGCACCCTAACCACTATACTACACTGGCTGATTCTCAGTCATTCAGGTCATGACTGTCCCAAAGGTGCTTTTTCAAAAGACAACTGAAGCATCCAAGAAGCTTCTTCAGTTCTGACTGTTCTGACTTCTTCAGTCAGAACTGAAGAAGCTTCTTGGATGAGAAGTAAAATGTCTTCAAAGAAAGCAAAGAAAGTCCAGTTGCCTTTTGAAAAAGCACTTTTGGTACACGGGCTGCTTTATTTTGCAAACTGTTGAAAGCGCTTAGACGTATCACATAAAGCTTAGTGAAATAACTCTGCCAGGGTTCTCTAGAACAGAGGTCCCCAACCCTTTGGGTACTAGGGAGCGGTTCCATGGAGAAAGATTTTTCCACGGAGCGGAGAGTGCGTAGTTTTGAGTGCTGCCTGCATCCCACGGATGGGGCTTTGCTTGTTCGTGAGGCCCGGTTGCTGGCATGCCACGGCTCGGTACCGGTCCACGGACCAGGGGTTGTGGACCCCTGCTCTAGAAAGTGTTCATAAGCTTAACCCCTCTTAAAAGTAGTTAAGCTTACTACAAATAAAAATAAGTATAGTTCCAGGTTGGCAAGATGTAAATGGTCCTTTTGCCATATAACCTATTTTAAAGTACAGCTACATGAGACAGCTGTATTTACCCACTATATGACACTAGTCCTCTTCCATATGTACTGGCTCCCTGTTTATTTTCAAGAAAGTTATCCAATAAACCTACACTGCTAATTTCTTTCACATTACCTTTTTAAAAATGTACCAGTAATATTGTACAGCAAGAGTTTAGGAACAAGTTCTGCATTTTAGACTGCATATGTAATTCCAAAGAGGGGAAATTTTAGTGCTTCTCTTTTTGGGAGAGAGTTAATCTGGAGATTTTATCAACTCAAATTATGAAAATAAAAGTATTTCTTAAAGAGGAAATAGAAAACATAGTGACAGCCCTAGTTTCATCAAACATTTTTCTCTGTCAGTCATATAAAAATTTAGTTCTCTAAAATGCTGATAAAAATTTAGTTCTCTAAAATGCTGGCGTACTTGCTATTCTGGACTTCACTGCTGACATGCCCTAACAGTAGCTTCACACTGTGGAATAAGCCATGCTTGAACTACAGTTTAACATGACGTCATGAATAGGATGCGATTACCATGGTTCAGACATGTTAAGCAAAATATAATAAGCCACCTAATGGCTGACAATGGCGTAGTGTGCAAACCAGGCCTCTCATTAAGTGAAGCTTTTTGATAAGAAGTCAAGCTATAGAAAATTTTACAGTGCATGTACTGGTAATCTTTTTATCTTTACTTGCCATCATGGTTTTGATAGGCTTTGTTGATTTAATAGAATCCTATAATGAAAGCTAATAGGCATAATTCAGCAGAAATAGTAGATTAGCACTGGGGGACTGGAGTGGAGAAGTAAGACAGCATTTAGAGATTGTGACTCCTCTCATACTATTTTATATTGACATATAAAACCTGGTTTCCTTCAGAGTTTTGGACTGTATCCCGCACCATTCCCAGAGGTTATTGCCAATTATGATGGATTACGGGAACTACGGCCCATAATATTTTAAGGTATTTAGACTAGAAAAGGCTGCTGCATAACAAGGATCTTACAAATAAAATGATAAATTGCATTTGTTTATGTAATGAAGTATGTTTACTTACCTATTTTGGGAAGAGGAGAAAGAAAACTAAAGGGAAGGGGTGAGCTCAGGAGGAAAGTAATATAACCCAGTGCCAAGTGTGTGAATATTTAATGAAAACTGAACTATGTTGCCAAAGAGGCAATGAAAAAGTTGTCTGGGGTGGGAGGTCTTAGTTGGTATTTTGTTAGTCCGTCCTGCTTATGCAAAAAAGCCTGAAACCCTGAGTATTAACACCCAGGACCAAGAATAGACTATCATACTATAATACAATACAATACAATTCAATAGGCAACATCGCCTTATATTCCTATTATAAATTCCTAATCTACTATCTTTCAAATAGGCTGACATTAAAACATCCGCCATCCCTAAACACTAGGGCAGGGGTATCAAACTCAATTTCATTGATGGCCACATCAGCATTGCAGTTGCCCTTGGGGGGCCAGATGGGTGTGGTCAGGGTGGGTGCAGCCTATTGGGTGGGCGTGTATGGAGTGGGTGTGGCCTACTGGGTGGGCATGGCCAGCTCTACATCGTTCGCGTCAAGGGTGCCTGTGGGGGCCTGGGCAGGAGTGGGACAGATCTGAGGGTCTCTGGCAGAAGGGGGTGGGATCGGGGCAAGTGCCAAGGCATGGTCCATTTCTTCACTCCTCACAAAGGGTGACACCTCCCCAGCATGCACCCAGGGGGCGGGGTCAATGCAGCAGGGACTGATTCCTCACTGTTTCTAGATGGCCTTGTGGAGCTAAGACTGAATGTGTTTCAGCATAGATGGCCACCACAAAATTGTACATTGGCTCCCGGCCGGCCTGGGCCAGGGCCAAGGCAGAAGGAGCCGTTTCCTCACTGTTTCCAGGATGGCTTCACGGGCCGCATGAAACCACTTTGTGGGCCGGCCTTGTGTTTGACATGTCTGCACTAGGGTATTGGGAGCCAAACTTGGCTCAAATGTCAAAATCAAATCATATGAAAACAAAACAAATGATCTGCAAATGATCCAAGGCAACAATTGCAAATTTTATCAAATTTTATCAATTTTATTATTATGTAAACAGAAGGTTGCCAAGTCCCTTACTAAAGGCTTCAGACTGTTACTTAAGATATGGTTTACCCACCAATTCTCCCCTCAACGAAATATTATTTCTGCAGCAAAATCACTGTTGAAATGATACGAGAGTAAAACATGTAACAAAGCTTTCTAATGTTGCAAAATCAAAAAAGTTTATACTGCCAAATTACATGGTGTCCAGTTAATAAAAATGCCAGAAGAAGAGATTAAAAACATAAGCTCAGAAACATTCAAACAGAATAAGTTAAAATGAAGGCTTTCATAACATAAGAAGTATCATTTTTTTAAAAAATGAACATCAACCAGCCAGTCTTATTTAACTTATTTATCCCACCAAATGAAAAAAAGTAATATTTTAAAGAATTAGAAGGTGAAGGACAACACCCCTTCATGAAATAATGTATTCCATCACAGTAACTCACCACTCCAAACTTCTTGAAGTATTCCCTGAGCTCCGTTTCGCCACAGTTGTGAGGGATCCCACCAACAAAAATTTTATGAGACTTGCTATCACTCCTGGATCCTTTCTACCAACAGAAAAGGGAGGGTTGTATTGAAACAAGGATTTCTCCATCAATATATATACAGTATATATGTATTATTTATTTCCTGACATATGGAAGTTGGCAAGAATATTTCATCTCATGCTGGTGGAGCTGACAGCTCTAAAAAAAATTTAAAGTAAACTGATTGATCGATTGACTGCATAAACAAATAAATTGAAGTGTAAAAGTGTTAAGTGTTACTTGCTTACCCCTCAAGGTTTCTGAACTGAAAATAACCACATGCAATACATACAACAAACAAAGGCAGGGAAGGAAAGAACTCCGCTATAATCGCTTATGCACAGGAAAGCAAGAGTCACAGAAAAGACTAGGAAAAGGCTGACGAAAAGAAAGGGAAAAGCAGGGATTCGTAGGGCAAGAGGACCTCAGTGCTGTAAAAACAACGGCAACACAACTGGGAGAAGAAAAGAAGATTAAAACCAATGAGCTAAAGGAGAATTAAGGGAGGCAAGAAGTATGATTCAGGATGGCTTTGAACTTTGAGGTGGGTGGCAAATAAAATAAATAAATAAAAAAAAAATGATTTAAGTGAGAACATTTAGATAAACGCCTACAGTTGGCTTACCCTGCCTTACTTAACTGAGTTACACAACTCTTCATGACATGGACCCAGCCTAACTGAAAAGTGAATTCTCTCACAGATCCTCTTGCTCTTCTGAGGATATCATCTACTTTACAAAACTTTTTTTTTTTTTTAGCAAACTAGTATTAGTGGCAACTTCTATTATGGATTGGTAGATCAAAGGGAAGCCCAACAGGTTACATAACCTAAAAGCAGTCGGCAGGAAGTTTAAGAAATTTTTATTCAAGAATTTATTTATTATTTTGGTTAATGCCTTTCCTGGTCTGTAATATTAATATTAATAAAAATAATAATGATGATGATAAAGTTGGAAGGGACCTTGGAGGTCATCTAGTCCAACCCCCTGCTCAGGCAGGAAACCCTATACCATTTCGGACAAATGGCTGTCCAGTCTCTTCTTAAAAACTTCCAGTGTTGGAGCATTCACCGCTTCTGGAGGCAGGTTGTTCCACTGGTTAATTGTTCTAACTGTCAGGAAGTTTCTCCTTAGTTCCAGGTTGCTTCTCTCCTTGATTAGTTTCCATCCGTTGCTTCTCGTCCTGCCTTCAGGCGCTTTGGAGAATAGCTTGACTCCCTCTTCTTTGTGGCAGCCCCTTTGTGGCTGCCCCTGAGATATTGGAACACTGCTATCATGTCCCCCCTCGTCCTTCTCTTCGTTAAACTAGACATACCCAATTCCAGCAACCGTTCCTTATATGTTTTAGCCTCCAGTTGTAAAAAAAAAATAGTAACTGCTGATCCAACTGTAGTTTCCTGGGTGTTTTCTAGTTGTGTTTTGAGCAAGTTTAGAGTAATTTCTAAATGGGAGATTTCACGCCTACCAAGCTTCTTGGTCATAGAGACAAAAACACCACATTTCAATGAAGACACCAAGAAGAGGAATAATATGAAGCGATGTGAAGACACTTCCTTACCCATCCTTCCTTTGGTCGTGTTCTCTCAGGCTGCATTCCTCGAGGTGTACAGGGTTTGGGATCAATCTGTCAAATGAGAGCACAAGTGAAGAGGGCTTGCTGGTTACCAGCATTTGAGAAAATAAGCTAGCGTATGATAATAATTCCTGCCACCTCATTTTCAAGATGGTGGAATAAAATTACATATTTAGACACTCATATGATGGAATAATGGAAAGAACATGGATCAACAGAGATAGAGGCATGTGCAACCCAGCAAAGCTATATTCTCCTAAAGAAAACTAGAGAACTATGAGACAAAAAAGAACACTGAATTAAAGGAAGGCTTTACTAAAAAAAATAATTTGTTAAAATGTCACCTCGGAAAGGTCACATGCCAGAGAAAATTAGGAAAAACCAGAGGTGACCAAGTAGAGATGAAATTATAAACCGAAAGAAATACTTTCTCTTTTTACAAGCTATTGTGCCTTAAATGGTATATGTCAATGCAGTACACAATCACTGTTAAAGTTTAGTAACATTGATTGATCCAAACTCTACAATCATATTTACTTTGATGATGGCTAACTCGGGAATTTAGAATGTTGCAGTAACTCCCAAAATAAGGGAAAAAAGGACAATAATTGTGGTAATAAAGAAGTGACTTCTTATATACACATTAAATCAATTTATATGAACGCCCAACTGGTGAAAGCAATTCTGGACACCAATAGCACATTAAGACAATAAAAATAATGTTAGCAAAGAATAAAAACCTACAGTGGTCGCTAAAGATAAACTCAAATAAAACTATCAACAAAAAAGCTCTCCATCTAATGTCCAGGACCTGGGAGCAGATTATATTCAAATAATAGGGCCAGCATATAAAATAAAGCTGACTCTCCAGTACAGTCAGGATTCAGCAAAGACATTATCACTTCAAAGGCATGATTTAATTATATTCATTTTAAGAGTCAATTGACACTCAGTTGTATTCCTGCACGCAAGTGGAAAAACTTACATTTCGGCCATCTAACGTATGGGGTCTGCTGGCCAGGACAGTTCCCACACAGTTGGGATCTTTGAACTTGACAAATCCAAATCCGCGTGACTGATTTGTAGTCTTATCTTTCATTATTACACAGTCGACAACTTCCCCATACTGGGAAAAATAGCTACGAAGGGTTTCTGTTAAAGGAAAACATACTTTGTTGAGATTAGTTTGTCAAAAATAGAATAGGGGCCGATATGGAAATAAATGCACTCCAGGAATAAAGATAGTTTGCAATTTTATAGGAGGATATTCTCAGGTACAAGTGAAGACATACTTCTGGGGATGCAAAATACAGTATGGGGCCCTCCAGTGCTTCTTTTGTAGTTCCAGAGCCCTCCAAGTGTTGGAACAAATATTCGGCTCTTTCTTCTCCCACTCCTCATTTTGTAAGCTAAAAACACTTTTGCAAATTTCAACCTTCCTGTCAGGCATCATTCAAAGTATGGTGTTCAACACACTGCAATAAGCCTAGAACAACTTGAGTCAGTCACAGTTATAAGCCCCTTCTTTAGGACAAGGAAAGCAATGTATAAAATAGTATTACCTTGAAATGGGTTTCCAACCATTCGGGGCTGAGAGGTAGCGGAGCTCTGTTCAGAACAAACTAACAAGGTCAACTGAAGGGGGATGTGATGGTGGTGGTCAATGGGCCAATATACACAAGCACGATTTTAATGATCTAGGCCAGGGAGAATTCTGAAGATTCCTATTTGAGCCCTAGGATGACCAGCCTACCTATAGCTTCTTTCTGTACCTTAGGGAATGGATTGTTGGGGTTGTGCCATTCAAAAAGAAACCACAAAAAACTTAAAACAAGTCCTTGGAATTATGTAAACTGCAGTCCTGCCTTTTAAGTCAGATGTTCAATCTAGGAGGCAGATTAATTTACCTTGTGTGGTGCTCCAATCTAGGCCTCCTACAAATAGTTTCCTGAAATTCAAAGAATAAGTTAGTTAATTATTTCCCATTCCAAACATAAACGATTCTCAACAGCAAAGCACTTTCAGTACTCATTATCCCAAAAGGCTGCCTGAGTAGTTTGTAACAATCAGCAGGATGGTAACTGTTGCTCTTAGATTAAATGGCTTTTCTGTTGTGATGCTTGCCCTCTGGAATAATATCTCCCCAGAGATTCATTCGGCTTTCACCTTAATGATGTTTCAAAACTCTTTGAGAACCTGAGTGTTTTCCCAGGCAGTCACCAAATCTTTATAGTGTTTTTTTTTGGGGTGTGTGTGTTTGTTTTGCTGTTTATTTTTTTATTGTTCTTGCTTTTAAAATGTAAATCACCCAGAGCCATTTGGAGTTAGGCAGCCCCTAAATTACAAACAAACAAGCAAGCAAAATTTCTAAAGAAAAAGCTAACAAAGAAAAAAAAAGGCAGTAGGGAAACAAAACAATGTGGGCGCCTGTTCTAAAAGTTACTACGGTATGATTAAAGAAAAGCAGTATTAATTTATATACTTGACAGATCCTGAAGTCATTGGCAAGGGAAACTTTCTTCTCTACTTTTATTTATATCATGAAGCATTTTTTAAAAATATGGCAAGCCAGTAAACAAGCATGGAATTACTGTAGCCAACATCTGCTGTAAGATTTCATTGAGAAAATATAACATACATGAAATAGTGCATTTTGAGTTAACAGACATTAAAAATAATTCACTCTGAGTTAAGACAGTTTTATTCCCATTTCACAGTTTCCCTCCCCCCCCCAAAGAAAGGTAGTAATATGTCATTTCAATCAAAAAGCTCTCAGCAAGGCTGAAGTTTGATCTCTTACTAACACTGTCAATGAATGTTTTGGAAAACCATTTCGGCAAATTAAATGTTTTCCTGTAAGTGTTTCATAAAGCATCTGAGCCTTGGGATTTGAACCATATCCAGAAAATTGTCCAGTAACTTGTCATTTACCAGCAAACTACTTGCATGTTTATCTTTGGATTTCTTAAATACTGAGGGAAGATTCCACACTTTTTGTGGCATATTTTGCATATTTTCAAAAACTCAACCTGCTGCTCTCTCTTCATGTTTCTTTTGTAATTTCTTCTACCCTCATGGGATGGAATGAGGAGAACTGTCGTTCTGGAGGGCCCCAGATGGTGGGAGTCAGTTCTTTACATATTCTATTGCATTAAAACCTTAGTTGCACAGTAACACAACAGTGTAACTTGAACACTGCTGACATATGATCACGGTAACACAAAAGCTGTGACTCAGTATGGTTGCTATATCAATGGAACAATTACAGCCAATTAAAACAGCAGCCGTTCACTACATCAACAACACACCATAGGGGGCAATTATCCTCTTATGCAATTTCCTTCTCTGCCACCCTGTTGGAAATGCATTCTTCATTTTCCTAGCTAGCGTTTTCGTAAATATACAAAATTTTATGTACTATGCTGTGAAGCAAAGCATCTTCAGTAAGAACATTACACTTTGCTTCAAATCTGAAAGTTCTGCCAAACTATTTCAAATGAGCCCTGGCTTAAGTTGAAATAAAAACCGAAACTATGTTGGTTGTTCAGAAAAGGTAAAATCTAGAGGGGTCCCAGAGTGATTTTAAGGTTCAAGCACGGCAAAGTTGATATACACTGTCCTCTCCTCCTGCCTCCAGTTTGTCCACCCACCCCATCCTCCCAGAATCTTCCCTCTTCTGATAACCCAGCACAGCATCTCTGCCCACAATTTTGCCTCAGGTCCCCATTCCCACCCCCCTGCTGATCCCTTACCTGCCCCTGCTGCCTGTTCCCTTCCCTCTCTTTTAGTAACTCCTCCTTATGGAAGGAGAAATTACTTGTATGGATAGTCCTCAACTTCTGACCACAATTGAGCCCAACATTTCTGTTGTTAAGCGAGAGAGTGGTTAAATTCGTCTTGCCCCATTTTATGACCTTTCTTGCCTCAGTTGTTAAGTGAATTACTGCAGTTGTTAAGTTAATATCATGGTTGTTAGGTGAATCTGGCTTCTCCATTGACCTTGCCTGTCAGGAGGTCGCAAAAGGTGACCAAAGAATCCCGGGACACTGTAACCATTATAAATATGAGCCAGTTGCCAAGCATCTGTCTTTTGATCACGTGACCAGGGGGATACTGCAACGGTTCTGTGAAAATCGGTACTGTTGTAACTTCAAACAGTCACTAAACGAACTGTTGTAAGTTGAGGATTTTACCTGTACTGATTTTAAATTAGACTCCAAGAAAACTCTGGAAACTAAAGGGATGCAACATTGCTCAATAGTAGTAACTGTGAGAGGGATCTCGGAGTCCTAGTGGACAATCACCTAAATATGAGCCAGCCGTGTGCTGCAGCTGCCAAAAAGGCCAACACAGTGCTGGGCTGCATTAACAGAGGGATAGAATCAAGATCACGTGAAATATTAATACCACTTTACAATGCCTTGGTAAGGCCACACTTGGAATACTGCATCCAGTTTTCGTCACCACGATGTAAAAAAGATGTTGTGACTGTAGAAAGAGTACAGAGAAGAGCAACAAAGATGATTAGGGGACTGGAGGCTAAAACATATAAGGAACGGCTGCTGGAATTGGGTATGTCTAGTTTAACGAAGAGAAGGACGAGGGGGGACATGATAGCAGTGTTCCAGTATCTCAGGGGCTGCCCCAAAGAAGAGGGAGTCAAGCTATTCTCCAAAGCGCCTGAAGGCAGGACAAGAAGCAACGGATGGAAACTGATCAAGGAGAGAAGCAACCTAGAACTAAGGAGAAACTTCCTGACAGTTAGAACAATTAACCAGTGGAACAACCTGCCTCCAGAAGCGGTGAATGCTCCAACACTGGAGGTTTTTAAGAAGAGACTGGACGGCCATTTGTCCGAAATGGTATAGGGTTTCCTGCCTGAGCAGGGGGTTGGACTAGATGACCTCCAAGGTCCCTTCCAACTTTACTACTACTACTACTACTACTACTACTACTACTACTACTACTACTACTACTACTACTACTATTATAACATGTCATACTTAATCAAATGGGATCCATCTTATTCACTCCCTGAAAATATTGACAGGTTTCCAGAGGAATCAGGAGAACTTCTTACTTACTAATTTTGCCTGATAGCAGCTGATTAAAGCTGCTAAAGGAAGACATGAGCCCTACTGACCAAGTTCACAAAACCTTTACAATGGGAATGGCTATGGAGATTCCCAAGTCATCCAGGTCATGGTTGTCCCACAGGTGCTTTTTCAAAAGGCAACTGGACTTTCTTTGTTTTTCTCTGAAGACATTTTGCTTCTCATCCAAGAAGCTTTTTCGGTTCTGAACTGAAACTGAAGAAGCTTCTTGGATGAGAAGCAGCCTTCTTCCAGGAAAAACAAAGAAAGTCCAGTTGCCTTTTGAAAAAGCACCTCTGGGATTTACAATGGGAAGTTCAGGATAGCAAGCCCAATCCTGTTCACTGCAGAAATCCAAAGTATCAAATGGCAGGCAGATGGTTTCTAGCCTCTGCTTCAACGTGTCCTGTAAAGTAAGCTCACCAACACAATTAATAATCTTGGTGTTGGTTCCACTCTCAGAACATAACACACTGAATGTTAGAAAAAAAACACCAATCTTTCCATCTGTTTTCTTGTAATTTATGACTATTACAGGTAGTCCTTGACTTACAAAAGTTCACTTAGCAATCGGTCAAAGTTACAACAGCACTGAAAAAACATACGGCTTATGTCTCTTTTTCAAACTTGCAGCTGTTGCAGCGTCCCCAGAGTCATGTGATCAAAATTCAGACGCTTGGCAACCGGCATGTGTTGATGACGGTTGCAGTCTCATGGGGGGGGGATTAACGTGATCAGCCTTTGTGACCTTCTGACAAGCAAAGTCAATGGGGAAGCCAGATTCACTTAACAACCATGTTGCTAACTCAACAACTGCAGTGATTCACTTTACAACTATGGTAAGAAATGGGGCAAAACAATTGTTTCGCTTAGCAATTGAAAATTTGGGCTCAATTATAGTTTGTAGGTCAAGGACTACCTGTAATGTAAAGCACACAGATAAACCATATTTACACAGAATTCAAAAGAGGCAATAAAAAACCTAGAAAGAAAATAAAATGACCAGAACACATCCCCTTCCAGCAGCTACTGCTCAGGTAAGCAAGATCAACACCAGACAACAATCAGACAGAATGAAGGAAACCACACCTCCAACAAAACTGGTACAACAAGCAGCTACCCTATTTCCTCCAAAATAAGACCCCTCTTATATTTTTTTTTTGGGGTCTCCAAAACAGGCACCAGGTCTTATTTTCAGGGGATGTCTTACCCGCCTTCCTCTGATAGCAAAATGGAAGCCAGGGGGCGCCGTGTGCATCAATCCTGAGCTCGTTTCTCGGCTGCAGAGGCTTTTCTGGAAGGCCTTTGACAGCAAAATGGAGGCTGGGGGCGAGAGGCAGCGAGCGGCGGGAGAAGAAGTGGAGCCGGCAAGGCAGGTGTCAAGGGCATAGGAGGCCTGGCTGCAACTATCCTAAGGTAAGTGGGTGCAGGGTGCGTGGGGCAGCTCCACCCCCCCCAAGCTTATTTTTTACCCGTGCGCCTCGTCTCACCTCGTGCAACCAGGTGCAATGGAGTGGGCGGGCTCTTAAGTAGGACTTATTTTGGGGGGGTAGGGCTTATATTGGGTGCACGCGTAAAAATCAAGCCAGGGCTTATTTTCAGGGTGTCTTATTTTCGGGAAAACGCGGTATATATAAGCAGGCAGCAAACCCCACACTCAATCCCATTGATGATGTTATCTATTTGAATAATGAAGAGACCACAAGCAAACAACCACGCTTAAAGAGCACTAAGAACTTCACAGTTCATCTCTGAGTTACATCTATTCCTTTCTATGGGAACTTCAGTCTAGTTTTATAAGGAACCATAAACCATTCCTCTCTGGCTCTGGTTTTTAGCGTTGGATCACTTAATA